TTGATGTAAATGTTGTTTAGATGTTTTTTACAAGTGGGAGACTACCTATTGTATTTCTATGTTGGGGTTCTCAGCCACCACAGGCTTTTCCCCTGTCTTTCTCTAGCGAGCCCTACCAGCGTAAACCCACCAGGAAGGGCTTGACTTTTAGGCTCTAGCTCCCAAATACTTTCTGGGCCTGTGACCCTCCTTTTGCTTTCACTATGGCATCAGGCCTTCTGGCCCACTTTCACACTGTGTCCCTAGGTACCAAGTTGTTGGGTCTTCTGCCTCCTCAGACTTGGCCCCTTTCTTATTGCTCAGGCTGCTAGCCAAGATCCACCCACTGGGACCCAGCTTCAAAGTCCTGCAGCCAGCTCTGGGCCATAAGCCCTATACGGCTACACCCACTAGTGCACTGGGCCCTTTGGCCTTTTATGACTACACCCCAAGGTGCTAATGAGGCCTCCTCCTCCCCTACAGCCTTGACCACAAACCACCGGTTTATTAGTTAAACACAAATAGTAAGTCCATGGACTATAAAAAAATAAAATTAAGGAAGGCAGTATGCCAGCTCACATTTTCCATGGCTCTGTGCTTCTGCTTCCCACCTTCTGCTATGCTCATTCTTGTGGGGCTGCCACAGCTTCTCTGGGAGTCATCAGGAGTTCACCCCTTCTGCCACCAGCCCCCTTTTGCAAGCTCAGCCCAGGGTTTTTATAGTTCTGGCCTGCCACCTCCTGGTCTCCTGACTAGCTGCCAAGGCTCAGCTTTTAACCTCTACCCTGCCAGCAGGTTGTGCCTGGAAAGCTCTGGTCTCAAAGGGATCAGCCTGCTTCCTGGTAACAGGGCTAGGGTTCCCTATTACAGTCCCAAAGGCATTTAAAGCACAATATGCTGCTGAAAGTGTAAACAGCTGCACCATTCAAATGCGATATGCCACCAACAATGTAAACAGCAACACCATTAAAGCGGCGCAGAAGGGTATTTAAGCCACTTTAAAGGCCAATTTTGTGGCATGTACAAAGGCCCCAAATCTTCTACTTCCTGGGCCAGTGCTTTAAAAATCAAACGATTAGGTAAAAGGTGAATTATGGCAGCACCACCAGCACCATCAACCACAAGTAGACGTTAGCACTGATATCAGTTAGGCATGGGGTTTTATGCATTCCCTGGAAGATGCCTCTACAGACAAGGGCAGAAGGCGCTTCCAATTGGCGATGTGTAGGGGGTGCACATGGGTGCACATAAACCGCCTAAGATTGGACATACCCCCCCTGAGAGAAGCACTGGCAGCACTTCTGGGTTTGCCGCTGAGCAACCCGACTGCAGGCTGCTACAGCAGGGGGACCAATGGGGCTCCTGCCACTGTGCACACTGCAGGGGAGCTAGGGGAGGGGTGGCACTTTCCCTCAACCCCTTGGCTTCAACGTGCCATGGCCCTGGATGAGCCTCTGGGCTCTGATTGCCCCAGCACCATGTGCCTCACTGCCTGGCCCACCCAGCGGCAAAACATACATGATGCCATGCAGCTTTCAAAGGCTGCAGTGAGCCACGGAGCAGGTAGGGCCCAGCTCACCTCACAGCTGCAGGCTGCCCTTGCTCCATGCAAAGATCATGGAGGGCCATGTGCCCCCGCTTGGCTCCCCAGCACTGTGACTCTGCAGGAGCCACCAGGGATGACATAGGCGGGGGTCCCAGGAGCTCCATCTCCTCCAGCCCGGCAGCACAACCAAGGCTGGCCTTGTTCCAGCTCTGGGTGCGCCCCCCCTCTGCGGGGCTGAGACCAGACCAGGACCGGTGTGGGGAAACAGTCAGGGCCATTGCAGGGGTGGGGGGCAGTGGACGCCAGTGCCAGGCAATGCCCCCTGGTGCAGGGGAAGGGGCAGCCACATGGGTGCAGTAGACCCTGGTCCTGAGCCTGAGGCCTGCCTGGTGCCAGCCCCAACCTCACTCCCTCCCCCCCCGCCATGGCCCCTTCCCCTCCCCTTTCCCCTGCAGACTTTTGTGCAGGGGGGGTGCTCAGCCTTCCCCCCCCCAAAAAAAGTTCTCTCTCTCCATCCCTGGCCCCCTGGTCAGCAAGCAGTCACTGGGACCCACCCCCCCACCCCCAAGTATTAGGAAGCACCACTCGCCCTTGGTGCTTCCTGAATACAATTTGAATTGCAGCTAAGTTTAAGAGGGAGATGAATGCTATTGTGCAACTTCTGAATAGTGTCTGTAAATATGCAGAAATTATAGTGCAGTAGTTTCCAACCTATTTTCATTTGTGGACCCTTAAAAAATTGTGAATGGAGGTGCAGACCCCTTTAGAAATTTTAAATGGGGGTACAGACCCCTTTGGATTGTAAGTGGCGGTAGTCACAAACTTTTGCTTGGTCATAGTCATCTTATGTGGACCCCTTAGACATAGTCTGCAGACCCCTAGGGACCAGAGTTTAAAAACCACTACTATAGTGTATATACACATGGGAAATTTTGAAGTCTAGAATTTAAGCAGTTAATAAATCCAGGAACCTAAGGAATTTTGTGGCTGCTGCTGCAAGGCCAATTTTAATTAGTCTTTGGAATTTAAATACCTTAAACTTCCTTAACTTAAACTTTGCTGAAGTCCCATATAGGTGTCCTAATCAGAGCCATCATTTCAAGTTCTTCACAGGTTCAGGCATTGACTTACACTCTGTTCACATTCCTAGGGTTATATTTGCAACCCAAAATACCAGAAAGGGAATATTTTTAGGAAAAATAAAATGAATGCCAAGATTCTGGAACACAATTTTGAGTCATATGGTCAGTTCTACAGTGATGAAATAAAGATTGCACAGAACTTTCTGTTTCTTTATGAATAGAATAACATAACAACATGATAATAACAAGTAGTGATTTGTGGAGGATAAAAAGATTCTAAATTTTGACTAGTTGTACGCAAGGCGGAATAGTCACTTTCCAAAAACAGATGAAGACACGATCCAGAAATATCAGCTATTAGGTGAGTTAGCTACAGTGACAAACATTAAGAGACTTTATTTCTGGAGCAAATTTATTCTTCCTGCATAGTCTTTAAAAAAAAAAAAAAATGCCAGAAGGGAAAAATTTAACAAACCCTAACTACTTGTATATTAAAAAAAAAAAACCATGCTGACATAGTGGACAAGAAAAAAAATCAAAATGAACAGGAACAGATCTTGTTATGATATTCTAGATCTGAACCTTTATAATTCACATGGGAGTTCCTTCAAACATAACTGGAGGAGCATGTACAAACAGTGATTAAGCAGCACTAAACAAGCTGTGCTTTCATTTCTCTGCAAATCTGCCTGGACTCAGTTGGAAACCTGGGTGGATCATCTTGACTAATATGAATGCTTTTGCTTCTCTTGCTATCATAGCTGTGCTGTGTTCACAAAACAGAATACCCGGGAGAGCTATTTGCAGCTTAGAAATGCCACATTTTAAAGGCAGGTTACTGTAGGGTTGGGGGAGGTTAACAGGAAAATAAACATGAAGAATATTTTCCTTCTTTAAGAAAGTCTCTTACTACTTCATTTTAGAATAATAATATAATTAGGATTAAAGAGACAATAACAAATGAGAATGCATGTGCTAATTGCAACCCAGAATGAGTCCATACATCTTGCCATGTGTAAGTGTGCCAGCATTCCATCAAACCACAGGGCGACACTGACAGGAGGGTTATAAGGTATCCTACAGCCCCATTACTTACACTGTTTGCTCATTGTGCAGGGGTGATGAATGCAGAATTTTAATAAAATATTTTAAAGATGCCAATAGGCAAATCTGAAATTACTCTGAAGCGAATAGTTATTTTTATCTTATGCATTATTTTCACCTCTGCAAAATACTGTCTATGCATGATTAGCCGGGTTCCCCCTTCTTCCACCTTGGAAGAATTTGTAGTTTTAAATCACCTTTGTACTTTTTAAAAATACAATGCTGGGCTTGAGTGCAATTGAGGGTTGCTCTTAAATTCCTGTAAATTGCACCATGTCTAGGAGGGCAATGTGATCTAGCCTTCCTGTCCTGGCTAGAACATACCATTTACTGCAGGGTGAAGGAACAGGCTTGTATAGAGCCATTTTTTTAAAGCTATACTGGCTGTAGAAATCCCCTACTTGAACAATCTGTAGTTATTATTTAAATCCTTTTGCTTATCCTCCATCATCTCTGAAATAGCATAAGGAGGCCTTATCATATGTAAGAACTAAGGCTGCAATATTTTGCCCTTCTTTTCTGTTGTGCACACACACAACTCTCACTTTTTCTAAGAAATAAATGAAAAACATTTTTTTTTGTTACTGAGACCCTACAATGAAGCTTAAGGCATGTCTATATGGAAAAGTTAACAGGCATAATTATATCAATCTAGTTATACTAGTACAATTCTCTATATGGGCATTCTTACTATGAAGTTAGTTTCCACATAAAGAACGATATTGCTATAATTATTCCAGTCAATTGCCTCATGTAACCAAGCCATTAGTAGCATGAGGAAAGAAAATATGAGCTTTAGGAAAGCAATCTGTTTATTTAATTATTTTCTGTCAGGGCTCTTTGGATTCATGCTGAGAAGAAGTACATAGAATTCATTTAAGGAAATATGCATGTCTAAGAGATGTGAGCAATTGATTAGTTTCTAAATAAGACAGATGTTCAGCTTAAGTATTGGGTCTGATACTGCTGGACATTCATTATGTCTTTTAAAGATGATTTACAAAAATAAAAACTGATCTTTTTGCATGTGTGTACATTCTAAAACAGTAATACTTTAAAATAAAGTACCAGTGTTAGTTTATTCTTACATAACAACCTTGAATTATAGTTTGCATTCACGGCCTATATAGAATTCTTGAATACACAGGCTAGGGAAGCTAGTAAATTAATTATACAGTATTTCGCTCTCCTTTAGCACTAGTCCTGGTGTTAATGGGAATATCTGCAAGTCTGCCTCTTCAGAACAAAAAAAGGACAATTTCCCAAAGCTCAAAATAGTGCAACCCTACCTTTCCACGTGACAGTCCTTTTTCCTTATGAAAATATCCTGTGTGTGGTGATTTACTTGCGCTGTGTGTTAACAGCAGGGATCTGAGGTTTCCATTTCCCACAGGAAAATGGAGCAAAACACGGATTTTCCCTTTTTTCTGGAGGAAAATGCAGATTTCTCATCTTACCAGAGAAACCCATGGATGTTTTGCAAAGAGCTCTCTGCAGGCTGGCAGAGTTCCAGCCTGCAAGGGGCTGGAGGGAAGAGGAGGAGGGCATTCAGACAGAGAACACAATACGTGCACATGGATGCCAGGCAGCCTGGAGAGCAGCTCCTGCAGATAAGGGCACAGAGGGACTGAGGCCCCCATAAAGAGGGAGTAATGGATTTGGGTGGGGGTGGGGCTGGGACTGCTGCATCAGGCTTGAGCCCTGGGGCTGCAACGCACAGCTGCAGGGCCCTAGCAGGGAGCAGGATTGCTGCACGCACCCCCAGGAGGGCAGGGTGGGGGCATGCCCCCCCAGATCTGTGTGCAGAGTGGAGATAGACATGAGCTGCCCTCTGCAGGCTTGGGCTCCTACCCTGCTGCCCTCCCCTGAGGCCTCCACAGCCCAGTGGATGTGACCCAGCACTGCAGGGCACAGTCGGGGCACACAGGGATCTTGTTGCCACTGCGAGCTCTGCTCTGCCCTGGCAATGTGTCCCCTGAACGCATGGCAGCGGTGGAGGTGGCAAAGCAGGGCTGTGCCCCTCACTGCCGCCACACACAGGGAACACATCACCAGGGCAGTGCAGAGCTTTCAGATTCAAGGAGCTTTCCTGTGTGGTCCCTCTCTTCCCTAAAGCACCGGGTTGCATCCATCGGCCTGCAGAGGCCCTGGGGGAAGGGCAGCAGGGTGGGAGCCCGAGCCTGCAGAGGGCAGCTCATGTCTATCTCCACTCTGCACACAGATCTGGGGGGGCATGCCCCCACCCTGCCCTCCTGGGGGTGTGTGCAGCAATCCTGCTCCCTGCTGGGGCCCTGCAGCTCTGCGTTGCACCCACCCCTGCCCTGCACACAGATCTGAGAGGCACAGGTCCCTCCTGAGCTCCCAGGAGTGCACCCAGTGGCAGGGAACTGCCCCCACCCCAGCCCACAGCAGGCAGGCAGCAGGAGTGGGGGGAGCCTGGTGATCTGTTTCACTGCAGCAGCCACCGCCTCCTGATGGGGGCTTGGCGGGAAGCACCAGCAGGGCCAGGGGAGTCTGTCATAGATTAAGGGGTTTTATCAGAGAATTTGCAATTTTTTTATGTGGGAAACCAGGATCCCTGGTTAATAGTTTGCAAATTCAGTATCCTCAAAGAAAGAGAAATGAATTCAAGATCTGACAACATGAACCAGTGCCACCTAGACCTGATGGTTAAGTATAGGGTCTACTAGTGAATATGCCTTAACATAGTGGTTCTCAGACGTTTTTTAGAGTGAAGGAACCCCTTATTAAACTGAAGGCAGTCCTCAGAAAATGCCAGCTCTTAGCTTTCAGTCCTTTTTTGACTACAGGAAAAATTAGAACAATTTTTCTGTGGCAAATAACTCAGAAAGACCACCACAGATCAGAATGGACTCCCATTTGAATTCACTGGTTTATCTTGTGAATCATGCATGGGTGTGCCCCCTAGTTGCTGCCCCAGCCCTTCCAGGCTCTTGTTCCTGCCTCCCACAATCTCACTCTGCTTCCTCACCTGCCACGCTTTGCTGTTGAAAATAAATGGGGCTGCCCTCAGAGGCAGATGAACCTAAGTGCTCTCTCTTCCTCTTTGCCAGTATTCACTTCTTCAGTCCCTATGAACCTTAAGATGTAAATCCCTGGCCTCCTTCCACCCCTACAGACACATCCATGCCTCACAGGTGTTACTTAGTCACAATCTGGTTCTTCTGTAGCGTCCTCATCCCTCTGGGTTTTGGCCCCGCTTTTCTCTGGCTTCAGGCTTTCAGCCTTGGCCACTGATTTGGATCTGGCTCCCTCAGCCTCGGCCTTCTCTGGGTATCTAGTCTTCAGGACCTTCAGCCCTTTCTTGTGCTCCGTCCAGAACAAGGCTGTTTTTAGTTCAGCCTAGTTGTCCCTGGTGTCTCTAGCCCAGGATAAGGTGGTTCTCAGCTCTGCCTCCTTGTACAGTGTCTGAACATCCACCTCATGCAGCCTGCCAGGTCCCCAACCCTAGAAGAGCTCTATGCTGGATGCTCCTGTGGCCTCCAATCCACCCCTTACAGCCACATCTGGTCCTCCCGTTATACAACAAACATAAATAAGCACAGATAAAACACATGCATCCTGCACTCACAAGCTCACCTCCTACAAACTATAACTCCAAGGGCTAAATCTGTCTTACCCCTATGGGTGGCCTTGTTTTCCTGCGTACTGTTTCCCCTGAAGTCAGCTTTCCTTTGGGAGCTCCTTTCCCTGCAGCATGCAGGGCCTAACTGCTGTTTGGGCTCAAGGATGGTGCTTATGGGCCCAGGAGTCCCACCCCATTTCAATCACCTGGCTTCCCCTTCCAGCCACACACAGGGGCCTCTAATCTCTTAATCAAGGGCC